GTTACATTGTGAGAAAACGGTTTCTGCTTGCACTTCTTGCCCAAGGGAAGAAGAGCCTCTGGGCAGGGAGGTGAAGCCCAAAATGGGGCTCTGAGAGCTCCCCAGACCCCACACGGCCTCACAGGCAGGGGAGGGAGCAGCAGGGGACAAAGGAAGATGAATTCTACAGCACACAATCATGGAATGGTTGGGGTGGAAGGGAACTTAAAGCTCACCCAGTGCCACCCCTGCCATGGCAGGGACACCTTGCACTGTCCCAGGCTGCTCCAAGCCCCAGTGCCCAACCTGGCCTTGGGCACTGCCAGGGATCCATGGGCAGCCCCAGCTGCTCTGGGAATTCCATCCCAGCCTTTCCTCACCTTCCCAAGGAACAATTTCATCCTAATACTCAATCTAAACCATCTGTATTAGTTTGAAGCTATTCCCCCTTGTCCTGTCATTCCACCCTTTGAAAATTGTCTCCATCTTTCTTATCACTTCCCTTCAGGCCCTGCAAGGCCACACTGAGATCACCCCAAAGCTTCTCTTCTCCAGGCTGAACAATCCCAATTCTCTCAGCCTTTAAATCCCCATGGGAGAGCTCTTTGCTGTCATTCCTGTGGCACAGCTGTCATTGTCCCCCTACTCTCTGGCCAACCCTTGAATTCTGGAGTCACCTCCTTGGGACTCCTTTGGCTCCACATTGTGCCAGGGCCCAACACAGAGCTCAGATCCTTCCCAGCCTGGTGCTGTGCCAGTGCTCCATGGCAGGAGCCACCTGGTTTGGGGACATAGGGGCTGTGCCCTCCTGTGCCACCCTCACGGGGGACAATGACAGTGTGAAAAATGCCAATCACTTGTTTTTAAATTGTTAAAAGTTTAATAGTAATAAAATGGTTATAAAAATAGCAATATAATTAGAGTAATAGTAGTTTGGACAATTTGGATTAGGACAATATGAGACAATAGAAAGAAAGAGTTACGGACTCCCAGTACCTTTTTCTGAGCAGCACAAAGACCGAAGTTAACAAAGGATTAACCCTTAGAAACAACAGCCTGTGGCATATTCATATACTTCATACATGAAGCATAAATTCCATTCAAATACAGGATTCTGTTTGGTCATCCTCAACTTCTTCCTCTGAATCCTAACAGCACTTTTGAGGCAGGAAGAAGTTCGTTTTTTCTGATAATGGGGCAATAAATTATTTTTCTCTGAAGGATTTAGGTGTCCTGTGGCTGCTGTCTCACTGCCAGTCCTTTCTTTAAAAAAGAATCTTACCTAGCATAGTTTCTATTTTTATAACCTAAAACTATATTTAACACACTACTTAAGAAAATGAATACAGCATTACTTTCTAACACAACACATCTAGTATTCATCTGAATATTTGGAAAAGCCAATCATAAAATACACATTTTTCACCACAGTAACACCCCGAGCCAGGGGTGTTGGGCTGCAGGAGAAGGCCGGGATGTGCCTGTCTCGGGTGAGTTATCCTGAGGGAACTCCCTCCTTTGGCAGCGTTTGAGACCAATAATTGAATTAAATGCTGACAGATCCAGTGCCCTCCTCATCCACCCCCATCAATCTTAACCCCAAACCCTGACCCACAAACCAACCCCTTCCCTCTCCATCTCTTTCCAGCAGAGGGACAAGGATGTGGATGGAATAGGGGATTTTAAAATTATTTTTACAGAAGTCCTGAGGAGTTTCACAGCAGGAGGAACTTGCTTAGGATGGTGCAAGTGCATGTGCTCGGAGAATTTCTGAAGGTGAGGAAGCTCGTCCATGAATCAACAGCAGAACTTCCTGAAATTCTGGAATTTCAGCTCAGGAATTCAGCTGAATTTGGAAATGTGAAGATTTCCAAATTTGATTTTGGAAATTTCAGCTGGATTCTGGAAATTCAGCTCTCTGAAATTCAGCTCCATTCCACTAAACCCTCTGGATTATACCAGTGCTGCTTTTCCATATCCAGGACATTCCCATCCCATTTCCATCCCAGTCCAACACCAGACTGAGCCAGGCTTTATTTAGAAACAAACACGAGTTGGGATCCTGCAAACTCCAATTCATATCTTTTTATTTTTTACAAAAAATACATTTTAACAAGTAAATAGAAACCATTTCCATAAGTCCACCATTGTCCAAAGTGTAAATGTACATTGTAAATTTGCCATTTTTAATATAGACATGTGCTCTATTTTGCCTGTTGTCTACAAGAAATTCAGCTACGGTCTGATGAAACATAATAAATAATGATTAAGAAATGGAAAAGCTACACACCAAGAAATGGGAAATATAAACTTTGCAAAAGTCATACATAGTTATATTACAGCCACCTCTTCCCAAATCAAACATTCAATTTCTCTTGATAAAGTACAACAGTAGTGCATTCCCGTTATTGGCATAGAGAGAGATCTTCACTGAAATACTGTCCATGGAAAGAATTCCACTGAACTGCAGCTCAAAGGGACACCAAGGGATTAACTCAGGACAGTAGCAGTGCAAAAGCCACAATATTGGCTTTATTTAAATTAAAAAAAAAAAAATATATATACTTCCTAAGAATTAACATATTGAACACTAATTAAATTATGTATTGAATTTCAAAGCAAGAACGATTTTTCTGGATTGCTCTTTGGGTGACCAATCCCACCACAGAGGAAAAGATGGATTTGCTGCCTTTGCCACCCAGTTTGTCATTCCCAATGACTTGGGAAGAAATCCCTGCAGCTGGCTGGGAGTTTCTCTTGGTACCATTGCTTCCAGGTTTTCCCATGATCATGGAAAAATGGGAAGATTTAGAGCACAAAACTCTAAAGGGGGGGGATGTGAAAAAGAGGAATTCCCTTTTCCTGCCTGAAATAAAAACTGTCTGAAGCTGTTGAAGCTGAACATTTTCACCCTGTTGTTTACACCACAGATAAAGAAACATCCCTCCTCCAAGTGCTTCCATCCAACTGGTCCATCCCCAGTTTTCAGGGTGAAACCCTTAAGAACCCTTCTTTTGGTAGTACCACACAAATATTCTCCAAATATGGCCCAAATTCTCACCTACTACTCACATTTCTATCCCATGAATGCAACACAGAACACTGCTGGGAGCAATGGAACAACACTGTGGGATACAACAACTCTGGGAAGGAAATCAAGGAAGTTCTTTTTTCTTTTTTTGCATTTCTAAGATATTCCACTACTTTAAAAGAGGAAATACTCACAGGTATTAATGCTTATATAAGATCCAAAGTCAACCAAAAGGTGTCTGTAGAAAAGTATTAAGATTCCTAATAGTAAAAATATCTGCAAATTTAATTACAAATACATTTCCAAAGCAAAATCCTGAATTAAGTACATCAGGGTGGGTCAGTATTGACCAGTGCTCCTTGAGGAGGAAGTGAACAGCTAAATGTGGAATATTTACACTGAGAGATCCACCTATGTCAAAGATATAAAGTGAAGCAGCCCCATTTACAGTCTGCAACCTATAATGGAAGAGCAATAAAACTCTGCTACAACACCGAGATTTTAAGTACTGCTGATTTCATGCATTTGTTCCACCACCTGCCCTAAGATTTCATCCACCACATCGATGTCATAATTCACTTGCTGCAGGTCCAGGTCGGGCATGATGGTGGCCAGGAGCTGTCCCACGTTCACGCGCAGGGAGCGCAGCTTCAGGCTGGGGAGAGAGCAGCACAGCGTTAGCCAGGCATGGATTCTGGGCTCAGAGCTCACCTGGCACAGCTGGAGCCACCATCCAGCTGGGGGTGCTCCGTGACTCCCAGAAAACAACAAAAAAAAATGGATGTGTTTTTTTCTTGATCAAGATTATTTCTAAATCTACACGTTTTTCCAAGCTTCTCTTCAGTTTTCAGCTTCAAGGGGAATATTTCCTCAATACGAAACTGAATTCCTGTCAGAAATATTTCACAATAAGCATTGGTGCAAATCCTTTCCCCCACACCACCTGTACTTCTCAAAGCAGTATTAAGGCCTGGGATTTTTATCCATTTAGAAACCCAAACTACCACAACCCACGGGAACAAAAGGAGAGAAAAAGAGAGGAGAAGGCAAGAAAGAGGAGTTGGTCCAAAGGCTTTAAAATATAAATAGGAAGTAAGAGTTCTAGCCCAGGGAAAAGGCTGGGCCTCCCTTTTTTTGGTTTCTTTGCTGGATGTGCTTGCTGTGTCCTCTTCCTGATCAAACTGTTTTGCCATGAGCCATCCCTTCTGTGGCCCATTTCCTTCTACTCTCAGATCCTTTCTCCAGCTCTCCCAGTGCTGCCACATCTCCACCAACTTGTGGGGAAAGTTACTTCCAACTCCTGCATTTATTTGCTAATTCTTTTAATAAACACACATCAGAGCTATAATGAAAAATAAAATTAAATNAGTGTCCATTGGATGGTGGCTGATAAGAATATCAGCAAAAGTTGCTTTTAAAGTGCCAGTTTGGGGTTTGTTCACTACAAATTTGATAATTAATTAGAATTAATATTAGATTAATATTTAGGGTTTGCTCACTACAAACTTAGCAATTAATTAGAATTAATATTAGATGAATAAAATGACTCAGATAAGCAAAGGCAGGAGCTCTCTGACCCCACTGATGCTTCACCAGGGAAGGTCTCAGAGCCAAAACATTGATGAGACAAAGTTACAGAGAATTTTAAAAATACTTTGTTGAATATTGGCCACAGGTGGGATTTTTCCTATTATTTAAATGTTGCTTTCTTGCAAAGAAATACCAGAAGCTGCCAAGTGTCAAAGAAAATAAATAGCTTTTCAAAAGGAAAGACACAAGCAGAGCTCAGGCCGTGCTGCACAACACCAAAAAGTGAAATAAAAAGTTTGTGCAAGAATTTTGGGGGGTAAAAAATGTGTGAAGTTGTTTCCTGAATACTCCAAGGTGATCAGATTGCTCAGGTGTAAATTCTGTTGGCCTGAGAATATTTTATATCTATTTACAGAGGGCCCTCACACACACACCCAGAAAATCACACAGAAAAAAAATTATAAAAAAAAAGATGTTTCCCATTTTTTGAGGGGAAATGCCATCAGGAACTCCCAGCAGATGAGGAATTCCAAGGGATAACTGCAGCATTTACCTTTATTGACATCCCACATGATTGCTGTGTTATCCACAGAAGCAGATGCCATGTAATTCCCATCTGAGGTCCAACAAATATCATACACATCTTCCAAGTGGCCTCTAGAAGGCAGGAGAAACCAATTATTATTTGAATTTTTTTATTATTTTATTATTTATTTATTATTTTATTTTATTTGAAAATTAAAAGCTATGTGTGAATATGATTTTTATGATTTTTAGGTTAAAAAAAATACCAAGAGAGAAATAAAAATTGCTGCTGGTGCTGCAAGCAGTTCTGCATTCCTCTCACAATAACCTCAGCTGCCAAGAACTGCTCTTTCAGCTTAAAACCTTTGCTCTTTGTCCTGATTATTCAAAATGTCCCTCTCCCTCCTTTTGCTGAGTCTCATTAACAGGGAGTTAAAAGGATTAATATTAAAGTAAATGAATTGTAGACAGTGCTGGAGTTCTACACAAACTGAAAAGTGCACCACATGTTAAAAAAAAAAANAGCCCCCCCAGCTCCCTCAGGGATCCTCCCTGGATGTTTTCCAGCCCCTCCCTGGCCACACTCCAGCCCCTCACAGTCCTTTTAAAGCAGCCCAGAACTGGACACAGGAGTTGAGGTGCAAAAGCCTTTTCCATCCTCGGCCTTGCTGCTGCTCCCCAGTTTGCCCTCAGTCACCCCACGCTGCTTGTCCTTACTCCCTTTGGACTCACATGGGGCTCCAGGTGGCTTCCAGGCAGATTTATTCCATGTTTTCCCTGGGATTGAGGCTGCAGTGACAGGATGGAGCTCTGGCTGTCCTAAATATGAGCATAACAACTGCCTTTTTCCAGGAATGTTTAACTGCTGCAGATACTACCAGGCCCTCAGCTCCCTCTGAAATACCTCAATTCCCGAATTGATCCCTGAATTGAGTCCCCTTTTACCCCAGCTGATGCTTCCCCCTTGGATTCTCCCCTGGCAGGGACCTCAGCTCACTCTGTTTCCCCCTGCTCTGGGTTTTGTGTGTGTGCTGTTCCCACTTCCCAAGAGCTCCAAGCTCTCCAGCTGGAAGTTTCAACTTTTGTTGAATTCCAAGACAAACCCCAGCTCCTGATCCACAGGATTTGCCTGCAGCAAGGAGTTCTTAGAGGAAAGTTTCAAATCCAGGCTCTTCAGTTGATTCAGGAGAGAAAAAGAGACTCTCAAAGTGAAGTTCATTGCACAGCAGAAAATAATGATCACCCTCCTCTTTCCTGCCTCCCTTTTCTCTCCTTGGTTTGCAAGTTGTGTTTAGAAATTATACGACATTTTGGGTATTTTCAGAAGTATCTGTTTGCTATTCTGTTGGGGCCAATCCTGCTCACACAAATCATAAATCACAAACATCACTTGATAAAAAAGAAAAAAAACAACAACGTTAGTTAGGAGTCACAAAAGGCAGTAGAAAAGAATTGCAAGCATCACATTTTATTATACAATTATCAAACATAACCTTCATCAAAACATTTGAAATACAACCAACAAGCAAAAATCTTGAAATAACATCTAGAAAGAACAAAACTGATACCTTTCTCCATCAGAAAAATTTACAGAGTCTTCTACATTACTGGTGGTAGAATCATTTGCCCGTGCTACAGCCTGGGGGATGGAAGCTTTTAACTGAGCCAGCTCTGCCTTGAGCTCCTCACACTGACAGGCCATTTGGTTCTTCTCCACTTCCAGGACTTCAATCTGCCAATTAAAAGAAAAATAAACCTGTAAAAATTATTNAATTCTAGAATGTGAGGCAGCATCACAATTACCCAAATCTGTTTTTGACATACACTTTAGCTAAGAACTCTTTTATTCCTAAATAAATGTACTGATCCTTTCAATATGCTTCAATGTGCACCTTTGAAAGTTATACAGCCAAGGTCTCCTAACAGCCCTCAGAGTCTGTTTATGGGACATCCCAAACTGACTGTTCATTTATTGATGGGATGTCCCAATCTTATTATTCATTTTTTTATGGGACACCTCAATCTTATTATTCACTTTTTATGGGACATCCCAAACTGATTGTTCATTTATTGATGGGACATCCCAACTGATTCTTCATTTATTTATGGGATGTCCCAAACTGACTGTTCATTTATTTGTGGGACATCCCAACTGATTGTTCATTTATTGATGGGATGTCCCAAACTGATTGCTCATTTATGGATGGAATATCCCAAACTGATTATCCATTTATTAATGGCACATTCCAAACTGATTGCTCATTTATTTACAGGATGTCCCAAACTGATTGTTCATTTATTTATGGGATGTCCCAAACTGATTGTTCATTTATTAATGGCACATCCCAAACTATTGTTCATTTATTTGTGGGACATCCCAAACTGATTGTTCATTTATTGATGGGACATCCCAATCTTATTATTCATTTTTTTATGAGACATCCCAAACTGGCTGTTCATTTATTTATGGAATGTCCCAAACTGATTGTTCATTTATTGATGGGATGTCCCAAACTGATTGTTCATTTATTTACAGGATGTCCCAAACTGATTATCCATTTATTTCTGGGACATCCCAAACTGATTGTTCATTTATTTGTGGGACATCCCAAACTGATTGTTCATTTATTGATGGAATATCCCAAACTGATTATCCATTTATTAATGGCACATTCCAAACTGATTGTTCATTTATTAATGGGATGTCCCAAACTGATTGTTCATTTATTGATGGGATGTCCCAATCTTATTATTCATTTTTTTATGAGACATCCCAAACTGATTGTTTATTTATTGATGGGACGTCCCAAACTGATTGTTCATTTATTTATGG